GCCTGGGCAACGTGCCCGCAAGTATTCTGGAGGAGTGAAGTGGTGACAAGCAGTGGGTGGGCAGGACGGTGGGTGGGAATGTTCCTGGTCCCTGGGAGTGGGTGCCTGGCTCTGCAACTGAGCCCCTGCTTTCACAGCCCGGTTCCCTTTGCCCCCCACAGCAATTTTACAGCAGGACAGAGGACAGCCCTTCCTGGGCAGGTATCCCGTGAAGTGCCTCTGAGCCCCTTGGGCGCTCTTGCTCAGATACTCTCCCTAGGCAGTAGCTAGGACATTACCAGCAGCTGCCCCAGCTCATCTGCCAGCCAGCCTTGCCAGGACCCTAAGTCACACACACCTCTGTGCAGGTGGAGCAAAGGTCTGAGACAGGGCTCTGGATGAACCTTGCCTTTCTTCACTCTTTCAATCAGACATGATTTGGGTTGGACTAGAACCTGCTACCTGATAACCTCACCCCTCTCCAAGTCTGCTTGGAATAAGGAAGCTTAGGAGGGTCGCAAAAAGGAAAATCAGTTCTGCAAATCCAGGCAGAGGTCCTTATCTCAGCCCTCACACAAGAATTACCAGGGGAAGAAGAGTGAGATCACCAACACTGAGCCCTGGGCCCCATGCTGACCCTCTCCTCAGAGTCTTCGGGGTGGGGGTGGGAAGCCAGATCAGTATGTTTTGGAAGCTCCCCAGATGCATTCAGGGTTGAGAGTTAGGAGTATCTCTCATTCCTCACTCAGGCCCGGTTCAATTCTACTTTATGTTCCTTTTCAACAGTAAATAAAGAATGGAGTGGAAGGAGAGAAAGGTGCCATGGGCAGGCATCATGACTGATCTATCAATAGAAGAGGAGGATCCAGGACAGAGACAATGGCACCATGTGACATGGCCCCTTCTGGAGTCCAGCAGCCCTCAGCCAGGCTGTCAGGCCAGGAAGATGCCCAGGGGAAAGTCCTACGCAAGCACGAGAAGATACAGAACGATCGCACACATGCATATTTAACTATGGAAAGCCAATCTGAAGAGGACTGAACATGGAGAAAAAGGATGGGGTAGGATACTAAAATAAGACCTCACATGGACTGAGCAGTAGCTACGTGCGAGGCACTGAGCTAAGCGTCTCACACGAATTGCCTTGTGTCGTTCTCACGGTAATCCTAGGAGAAGAGCTGCTGTTACTCTCATCTTACAGACGAAAGAAAAACACAAAATAGCAGCTCTTTCTCTGGAAGGAAGTCTCTTAAAAACACAACGGTAAGAAGGTGATGCTTAAGGAGGTAAACATTCAACCACAGGGAGAAACTGGACGTAGGAGGGATGCATTCCTCTAAGATTTCAGGTTTTGCAGATGGCTCTCAGTCCCTGTACACAGAAAGTAAACATCCCTCAGAATATCACCGAGGCTGCTCGTGGTGACAGCGTTGTAACTTATTATTGATAGGCTTGTTTCTGAAATGGGAACTGAGAAGAATAAGTGGCAGGTTATCACCAGCTTCCAAAATACCCATTGAAGTCCCTCTCTCATCTCCATGGGAAATATCTATTTTGGTTTTGTTGCAATTGTTATGTGGTATTTACGAAACTCGGTATGCGTGCCAGGCACTTGTTAAGCCAACGAGGAAGGATGAGAGAAGAGTGAAGGAGGAGCTGCCTCTTGGAACAAAACACATGCCTGTTCATGGGTTTCTAGGATTTGCAGAGACTGGAAAAGAAGAGCTTTGATGGAGGTGGGGATGGGCGAGGCAAGAGGCTAAAGAGAAGTTACTGAGCAAGAAGGTCAAAAGAAAGGCTTGGGGGCAGGTGGGTTTGAGCAGGAAGCACAGCTCCTCACCAAGTTCATTGACCATACAGCCTGGGGCAAGTCTCCTTGCCTCTCTGGGCTCTGGGCTCTGGGTAGGTTTAAAAATAGTAAGATGTTGGCAAAGCCCTTATCAAGGGTCTGACTATGTTTGATAGAAATGAAAAGGAGGTTCTTGATTCTGTCCACAGGAGGCCACAACACCAGAGCAGCTGTGCTCAGTGATGGAGAAGGGCAGACAGCCAAGGGAGCACCAGGAGGGGCGTCACAGGGAGCAGTTAAGGCTTGAGACCGCTTCTTCTCTCCTCTGACCTCCAGGAACACCCCTGGACCATCCTTTAGGAAAAGCTAGGGCAAAGAGCTTCTTTGCTGGGTAAACACCGAGGGGGCTCTACTAGCTAAAGCATAGTGAATTCCTGCATATCAGAGGGCATACTGTGAGAGAGAGAAACAAGATCAGTCACTTAACTCATTGCATTCAAGAGTGGGCATTATAAAGGAGCTGAAATTAGAGAAGCTTGTGGAGGCTCAAAACTTCCCCCAGAAGCATGTTTGATCACTACACAGAGGAAAGGCCACCACTCACAACTGCCAGGGCATGTGGGCCCCTGTAGTCAACTGGGAGTGGGGAGAGGCCAGCCACCTTGAAGTTTCTTCTGAGTCAGCGATTGCTGGATTTCAAGTGGCACAAAGAGGGGGAGTAGGCAGAGCATACCTGGGGTAATTTGGGGACCCCAGAAATCCTCAGATAGCCTTCTCCACACTCTTCTGCCAACACATGACCATCTGGAGTCCTTTACACCTGAGTGAAGGAAGGTCTTTGCAGAGGATCAAGGGCCATGAAACCAAAAACTCATTTGGGGACTTCCATGAAACACTCCTGAGAGTAAACACCCCTGGCACATGCTCTCAGAGGACAAGGCTGTCAGGGGCAGCATGTCTTCCAGCTCAGACCCATTTAACATTCCAGTGTCCATGGTGGGGAACAAAGAAAATGGCGGCTGGGAAACCAGCTGGAATAGCCAGAATACATAAAATCTTCTGCACAAATCATTCAGTGTAGATCATGGTTCCTTCATGTCTCGAACACGTAAGTTTCCATTTCTTCAGCAG